GGAGCGAATGGTGCAAATTAAAGTAAGTGAAAAATAAACAAGCATAAAGTAAAATAGAATTACGAGCTGTAATCAGGATCCGATCCTAGGACCTCCCGCCTGCGAGGCGAGCGCGCTATCGTTTGGCCACGCGGTACTGATAAGGATGCCGAGCCTCTATCACCTACGTTTACCTTGTGCCGCTAGCGCACGCGTTTTTTCCGCATCTTTAGCCCTTTTTTTGAGGGCTTTCCCGACCCCATTCGAAAAAACGAAAAAATACGGCATCCCTAAAATCATCTCTAGTATCTTCATGCGAAATTTCAACTCGAAATTCCGGTTACACTTGGGAAGCTCCCCTTGTTAGTTCTTGATTTAAGCTAGATTCTGACTGAATCAAGAGTACTTTTTCTTGTTGATGTTTTTAAGAGTCTGGACTCTAGATCCAATGTGTTTTTTTTTCCAGTGCACGGAAAACAAAAAGCACGAGGTTGTTGGATGATATGGACGTTTCGAATTAATTGTGGTAGTACCCCCAATTAACTATATGGTAGCACCCCAATTAATTATGATAGTACCCCAATGAATTCGGTAACTAACCCAAATGTTGCGGTACTACCCTAACTTGAGTTGCGGTACTACCACAATTAATTAGAAATGTCCATATCGTCCAACAAATTGAGGTAGTACCACAATTTTAGGGGATAACCCCTGACACTTTTTTTCCGTGTATCCGCCCAACGCACCCTCAAAAACGTAAAATTCAGCGGATTGGTAAGACCGAATTGTTGACAGCTCCAGCTCAGAATCACAGACTCTCGCGAAAGTGAGTCAGAGAAACAACTCATTACCACGGTTGCCATTTTGGACAGATTGTGAGCATCCCTTGAAGCTTTTCGCGCCACAGTTGGGGCGATATCTGTCCACCAGCAACACTGATCATCACTGTCTGGTAAGACGACCAAGTTAAGTGAAGCTGCACAATAAACCGTACAGTGTAATTAGAAGCTGTTGACTCGTTAACCTTCGGTTCGAAGCCCTCAGTCTCCACCCCCCCCTCTTCTTCCCTCTCAAAGCGTCGCACAGCTACGTCCAGGAAGGTCGGACAAAATGTGGAAACTGTAAAGGCTTTAAACTCTGTTTATACAGAACTTTGAGGTTCTAAGAGTGGTTCCATTGGTTTCCTCGTAAAATTTTCCGCCGGAGGCACCCCTTTAAATTTAAAATGTGGCCAAAGAAACATCAAAATTTGCAGTTTTAGTCAAACATTTCATGTCTGACCTCTCGAATTGACTCGATCCACTGTGCGTCGTCGCGAAGATATCAGAGAATAGCGCGCGAAAAAGTCTGTGCTCGAGACTGAGATCTGGACCAAATTCGACATGAAGAGATCATGCTACATTTTGGAGGAAAAAAGATAGGAGTAGCATTGAGCAGGACAAGCCGCGCGTATTCTCCTGACAATACTTTAAACACGGGAGAAAATATTTTGAACGTGAATAAGTGCGTTAAAATTCATCTTGAGCATTATAATTTCTATGGATGGATAAAACATCGAACATTTTTTTCTCGGGTTGATCTTAATATGATTCTGGGCCTTTCTCTTATACTGTTATGCTAAGGAAGGACGCCGTATGAACCCTCAGACGCTGCAACATTTCCTTCAATAAAACCTCAATTTACCGGGAAAATCGTGCATTTTTTTTTTCAATTTTTCGAGATTTTCGATGTTCATACGGCGTTCTTCCCTGCCACGGCAGTATACGCGGTACATCTATACTCAATTTTAAGGATTTTTGTCTATGACGTATTCCAACCGGGATTTTTCTCCTTTTTTTTACGTAGGATCTTCGTCCCTCAGAGGGGTGTTGCTCTTTTGCATATCGACGGTGTAAGTCCGCAACCGCGCGTATCTCGGTTTACGACGTCGCATAACCTCTTGTCATATTTTATTTTTTGTGCTCAAAACAGCGACGGGAAAAGGGAAGAATCAAAGTATTTCATTAAAAAAACCAATTTTTGGTCATTTCAAGAGAAACGGGTGATCATCCGATTTTGCGGTTTTCTTTTTTCGGTTCAGTTTACCTTGTACCAACAAGTTATGTGAATATTCAAGCGTTATTCAGGTCGAAAAATATAAATTTTTCAGGGCAGACTATGAAAAATCAGTATCTGAAAGTCGGCGAGAACGAAAACACACCAACTCGGAAATTTTTAAACGCTTAATTCTCTATCATCAAACATGGTGTATCGATTTCAACTTGGTGCTTCACAAAGTCTCTAAATACTTGTCCTTTGGCACCAAAAAGGTTTTTCTTAAACTAACTTCTTCGCCCGCTGCGCAGTTTTAGGTGTTTCCTGAACAATGTTTTTCCCCGAGTTGGTGTGTTTTCGAACTCGTTGATTCATATAGTTCCTTTGGCTACAAATACGTCGAATTTTACTTGGAGTTGCTTGAAAACCGCTCGATGGGAGCTTTCCGCGCGTGGTACAGTGACACACATTTCCGAGCTGCATTTCGACCTGCGAAAAATGCCCTCTTACCCGACTTAATGACGCTCACTCACACACTCGCAACCACCCGCGAACACACACGAGCAACCGGTTTCCCGGCGGTGACAGCTCCGAACACTTCCAGCGGTTCTAGCGGAGCATTCGTGAAATTAATCACAAAATAAACACAAGGTCGCGTTACTGGATCGGTTGCACTTGACTCGCGACTCGGTACCCCCCCCCCCCCCCNTCCGATGACCGCACTCACGCTCGCACGTTCAGGCATTGACCCCTTTAAAGTCATGTTTGTCATATAAATTCATCGGATGGAGAGTTACTGCCGTGCTAAAGGAAAAACGCCGTAAGAACTTTCGAGAGTTGCCAAATTTCCGTCGATAAAACGTGTATTTTTGACAACATTCGTGCATATTTTTCCTTGAAATTTTCAGATATTTCGGAATAAATTGCAAGCAAAATTTTTGGAAAATTTTGGGGGGGAAATATCTACAATTTGCCCAGTAAATTGGGTTTTTATCAAAGGAAAGTTGGCAACGCCTGAAGGTTCATACGGTGTTTTTCCTTAGCGAGGCAGAGTGGATCTTTTGCGTGTCTTTTTTCGCGTGTTAATTATGCCTCGAACAAATGAGCTTTCGTTTATCTGTTTGCACTAATGATTTTTGTTTCGTTAATTCCTGGTCATTTAATTTTTATTTTATATTTGTTGTTTTTTCTCTATTTGATTCTGTTTGAAGGGAAACGTATCGAGGAGTGAAGTTGATGACAATGCAACGGCTTTAAAGCGGAGAATCGGAGCCAAGGTTCTGTTTGAAAAAGTTACCGGTGAGCGGGACGCACTGAGACGAGGGTGCACGTTATGATATTGCTCGTATTATGTAATGCTTTTGTAAGTGATTATATTTGATGTGAATTTAAGTGAGTAATGGCGTTTTTTTAAGCTTTGCTTGGTAGAATAATTGTGGGGCTTCAGGGGGATTCTGTCGGTATTTGAGTACCCACAGGTCCTTCATTTCGAAATTATTTCCCCAGCCCCCACACTGGAAAAAAAAAACACATTGGATCTAGAGTCCAGACTCTTGAAAACATTGACAAGAAAAAATACTCTAGATTCAATCAGATGTTTGATTAAATCAAAAGGAAATCCGCTCAAATTAAGAGGCTTGGTTCTTGATTTAAGCAAAACTCCGATTGAATCAAGAGTATTTTTTCTTGTCGATATTTTTAGGAGTCTGGACTCTAGATCCAATGTTTTTTTCCAGTGCATATGAGGGGCTTGGAAGACATGTGCGATTTTTTCTTTCGAAAAATACGTGTTTGAAGTTGCGAAATTACAAGGATCCTTATGTCGGAAAGAAAGTTCAAACTGAGTTTTTGATGGTTTAAAACTGGAATTTGGGAGCGCACAGTATTCTCAGAATATGTATTTTCGATCGTAGTGCATACACCTTTTTTCGTGGAACATCGAAAATAAGAAAATAATACATCTCAACATTGATGGTCAAATTACTCTCTTTACCCACAAAATAATCTACAAATCTTTGATGGGTATGACATCAAAAATGTGTCAAAAGAGTAATATGATCAAAGATGATACTTCGGCGAAAATACACGTTCAATTGCACGCCTGATAACGGGGAAGAATATTCACTGTTATTCGGAAATGACAGTCATTGATACATTGATACCACTATTCGTGCTCCAGGGGGACCATGTTGCATACCCTAAAAACTGAAGGCGTTTTGCCCTCTCAGAGGCGCGCCTAGCCCTACCATGATCCCATTAACGACTCGCTTGAATCTCAAACGGCGGTGAAGCATTGCTATTTCTAACAGTATGATATTACTGACAGGGCTGCCACTTTAATTGGGGACTCCAAAGCTGAAAACACGGTAACCCTGTTAATGTACTTGCCCCCTATCTTCGCATGGAGAGTTTGTCTTGATGTAGACGTGGACTCTCAGGATAACGTGGGATATCCCCTCCATTTTGGCCTCAACTTGAGAGCTTTTTTTGAGCTTGGGAGTTACTTTCAGAGAAAACCAGTGGCACCATCGTGTTTCTCACGAACTTTTACACAAGAATCAACAGTCCGACGGTGAAACTACCAAACCACGTATCTCGGTTTGCGACGTCGCAGAATTCTTGTCATACTTTATTTTTTAAATGAAAAACTACTTAACATCCAGTCTTGAAAATTTCTGTGATTTTTCCTCTTTGTGCGGAGAAAATTCCGTGAAACTTTCAAGGAATGATATTGATTTGGTCTACTTCAAAAAAATAAAATGTGAGCGTAGATTTTTAAACACCGTAAACGAGATACGTGGTTTGGTAGTTTCACCGTCGAGTCAAATTGCAAATTCCTCACACATGCAACATCTCCATTGTCCATAAGGAAATGTTGAATCCCCGAAAGTAAAAGCTTCCACCTGTCGGCAAGAGGCCAGTGGAGGGTTTCTTGCCTATAGAACCTGCGCAACTGCGACATATTGAAAAGCCAGAGAGCTACTCACCTAGCTTCGTTCTTTGGTGAGTTTCGACATTTTGGGACGGGGCGGAGCCGGTCGAAGACGCCGTCTCCCCGCTGGCCGCATCGGGGGCGGTCACCCCCGGATCGCCCTCCAATTTTCTGGAGATAAACACGGAGGCCTGCTCTTCCGCACTACCGTCGAAGGAGACGTCACACCGGGGGTCCGTCTGCAACCCGCACAGCCGCGCGAGGACCCTGCACACTAGGTTGTCCTTCCGGCAGGTCTTCTTCACGAACTCGATGTCCTTCGGAATGTCGATGGCGTCCAGGGATTTCTTCGGGTCCAGGATCGTGGGGACCACGACCTCCGCCAGGTTCCTCCGGAAGAAGCTTCGTCGCTCGGAGCTGATCGCGTGTGTTTTCATGTTGGTAGATTTGAATTTCCCGCCCACGATTTGAATTTACCGCGCAGAATTTGAATTTGCCGCACTTCGAGTTTCAATGGTTGCTCGTGCCCATTGTTTGCACTAATCCGCGTTGGTTGCAATCGGATGACTTTTAGTTGAATATTAGCTCGATGAGTGTCATTATTTCAGGGCTTAAATCACTCCCCGCAAACGTACTCTTGCTGTTTTCAAACAAATATATGATTATTTAATTTCACTTTTTTTGCCAAATTGCCGCAATAATACTTGGATTCACATGGACTTCTCACCCTTTAGCCCGCACCTTTAATCGTATTATAAATCGATATTTTTGTATAAACGGAACCGTTGTAGAATCCTAATAAACCTACAATTCATAGAGATTATTTTATTATAATAGGTTGTATTTACTAAATTGCGAAGTTTAGTAATGCTCTGATTCTTTCACCAATATGAATCTTATCAGAAACTAAGTTTGGTGGAGAGATGTTTAGAAAAATTTGGATCGTTGAACGTCAATTGGAGCATTTTATACACGTGTACGTATTATGTTTCAAAGGTCGATTTAAAATGTTATTTTTCTTTCGGATCATTCTTTTTCGTCGCTTCCTCTCAATAAATCATTACGGAAGTCAAGATAAAAGCTCGGGCTATCATTTTTTGTTCACTTTCTTTTAAAAGTACTTTCCCCAAAAAAGCATTGCATCACGATTAACTTTTTTATTCTGGTTTGATAAAACAAATTGGCTCATTAATTAAGTAATCATGAAATTTGAAGATTCTCTTCAAGCTTTCCGGTTCCAAAGTAACTTCCTATCAATCGGACACCGTTTTATCTGTGTGAATTATTCCGAATTTCCTCATTCATCACCAATTTTTTCACCGAGTTTTAAGCGGGCCTTGCGGAAGTCTGAGGTGTGTTTCCTGTTCAATGACCTGAAACAGAGACACAAACAACGAGTTAAGTAACACTGATACAAGCAATTTAATAAAATAAAAGCCTATAGAGGCATTACAACCGTCTGTGCGAAAAGATACCTCAGTATAAATGCAGACACGAAATTATTCAGAAGAAAGGTCTCATGGACATTTAAGTCATTCTACGGCTCAGGTGGAATTGCAAAAACCTGAAAGGGTGGGGGAGGGTATAAACCTGTTCAATATTATAAATATTCGTCATATCTTTTTGTAAAATCCCAAAATTCTTACGCAGATTGTGGAGTTAAAAGTAAATTCTAGATCTTCCTAATGATCTCATCGTAATTTTTGAGTCAACTCCGTAAGAAACAATTGAGAGGCTTGGAGAACAAGGCACATACTTGCAGTTTTTCCTACTCGGAGGATTACGTATTTGAAATTTCGAGATTAAATGGATCCTGATGGCGGAAAGAAAGTTCAAACCGACTTTTTGATGCTTAAAAATTGGAGTTTGGGAGCCAATTTTTCACAGAACATGTATTAAGACTACTTTTACTTGAAATTATTAATATCTGAATTTGTTCAACAACTTCACTTATGCACCTTGTCCTCAAAGCCCCTCGATTCTTCTTTTTACTCAAGCAAAAGTTTACTGTAGACAGGCCTTTTATACTGAATTAAATTTTATGGTAAAAATTGTAAGATCATCATTCCATTTCTTCAATCAGTATACTCTATCATCCATTACGTGGCCACAGAGAAGACAGATTTTTGAGCACTGCGAACACAATGGGCCTGTTGCAAACTTTTGCTAGAGCAAAAATAAGAGTTGTTTCTTGTAGATGATGCCTCAAAAATCACGATGAGCGCATCGGCAAAATCTGAAATGCACTCATAACTTCACAATCTGCGTAAGAAATGTGCGTTTTTTTAAGCTTCCCGCTTCAAAAACGATACTACGGCACAGGTGAACATTTTGTTAGAGGAGTCGCTCCATCGTCGGCGATATTCATCATGACCGACGCTTGCGCGCAATTCCGCGCGTAATTCGAGGAGAGTTCAAGGTCAACCAATTCGGGCGTGGAAAATATGAACGTTAACACACCGATTGTTATCTGGTCTAATCCAGTTCAGGTGTTATCTCGTCCCTTCAAACGTGTTTTGGCGGATGGGCGTCGGCCATGATGATTATTGCCGACGACGGAACGACTCCTCTTACAAAATATTCACCTGTGCCGTAGTATCGTTTTTGAAGCGGGAAGCTCAAAAAACCGCAAATTTCTTACGCAGACTGTGAAGTTATGAGTGCATTTCAAACTTTGCAGATGCGCTCATCGTGATTTTTGAGGCATTATCTATAAGAAACAACTCTTATTTTTGCTCTAGCAAAAGTTTGCAACAGGCCCATTGTCTCAAGATGAACGTATATTTTGAGTTATTTCCGTACATCACTCTTCATCGACTTGTTCTTTCCGAAACCTAAATTTAATTAATTTACAAATCCTACTCACCATTTTAAAGAGCAAGGAAGTTGCGATATTCCGTTTTTGAATGCAACTTTTCCCGTGTTTTTTGAAGAAGATGAACAACAAAGAATGATCCCGGAAAGAAATTGATCGAACTATCGCATGGCAAAGGGTGTAAACTCTTGAAATTCTCTCATTAATTTAATTTTGCACAAGGAACCTCTATTATTCTATGTTTTTCTATTCTTTTTTGCAAATGGTTTCTCGAAAATGTTTTCTGATTAATTTATTAATTTAATTTTTGTCAGAATGAAGCGTGTCTTTTTTTAAACTAATTTATAGCGTATTGCGATTCACAAAAATAAATTTTTATTTTTTTTCTGTTAGCCTGGACTTTATGCCAACTCTTCTTCAATGTTGAAAACAAACAAAAACTGTCATAAAAGCCCTCAGATAAATAACAATTTTCAGGATGTCTAATTTTTCCAATTAAAAAAAATTTCAAACGTCATAGCTCAAAATTTAGTTTAACGATCATAATTCTTTAAAAAAAAATCACCCATGGAGGCTAGTGATATGTTGTTTTTACAACGGCTATCACATGGCCTCAACAAATACGGTTTATTGAAATCAAGCAATTAATTATCTACGTAATTAAAAATCACAAATCAGGTAAATTTGCTCATCAAATAGATTATGATTTTTTGACGTCATAAGAATCCAAAATCACGGCCTGAATGCTGTAAGAGTAACAGAACGGTAGAACGCTGCTGGATTCACTTCATTCGAAGGGGAAAACAAAACTAAAAAATCGAATTTGGAGATTCCAAAATGAACTCTGAAACATTTTTGTAAAATACGTTTTGGATTATATTCTCCCCTCGGAGAAATATGGACTCAGAGCTATTCTACCGCTTTTTTCAAACACGCGCACAACAAGAGATTTTTTTATAAAAACAGAGAACAAACAAAAACGAACAATAAAAATGATCGAACATTTAACGTAATAAAAAAGATACTGCGCGCACCTTGTATACCGTCGGCACTGCAAGTCAACAATACAACAAATTGTATCAAAGGCTGACTCGGTGTTTTGATTGCGATAAGAATTTTCGAGGTGGGAAAGTGAAGATCACTTTTTTTTCTAATTGCAAGTACCCATCGCGCGTTAAAATTTGAAGGTCAAAGTACGTCACTGCGCACGCGCGCACGCGTCGAGTGAATTCCCGCGCCTCCAAGTTCAAAACGCTGACCACTAGATAATGTTGCCAAACTGAACGTTTCCCACTATGGACTTCGTCTACGATAGGACCGTCGTAACACGTCTAATATCTGGAAACCCCTAGAATTTAGAGACTCCTGGGGTCAAACGGCTAAACGATAAGAGCATGCTCCGAGAGTCAAAATGAATTTTCTTTCTTAAAGTACCCTAAAGACTACCTTTCGCCCCCTCCCCCAATTTTTGGAAGAATTTTCGTGGACCCAAATTTTGCAAAAGGTTACGGAACAAGACTCATGAAAAATCAATTCATTCATGGAATTAAAAACATTAAAATCTGAAACTTATTTACAGAGCTCTAATGAGGCCTTGGATTATTTGATCCGTGGGCCGATAGTTGAAATTGATAGACAAAGCTATAAACAAGGTTTAAAGGTTTTTTTTTTAAAAAAAAAATGTCAAGCCTCATAAAGAATATCGAGTCTCGTCAACATCTTATCATACCATCATTGCTTGTATATTGGGTAAAGTGCATATAATACACTCACACAGAGTGCATTTTTTCAAAAATTGTACGATATGATTCCACGATGTAAAAGTTGAGAGGGTACCAGAATATGCATCGTAGAATTGACAACAACCTCAAAAACAGTACTTATTACTTTTACATTCACGTAACCCTGACAATATTCCACAAATGAGCTGCAACTGGAGCAACCTTGTCCGTAATAAGTAACTTTTTTCTTACTTTCAGGCGTAAACAGAGAAAGAGAGATAGAAAGAGATGACGTATAAAATACAGCGAAGCGCTTGAGGAAGATTGCACACTTTCCGTTGCACTCACGATGAGTTAATCATTCGTCTATTATAAAATAGTGTAATTGAGTGAACTCTCATTCAGACCTCTTGTTTTATCTCGATGCGACAGAAAATTCTTTATTGATATCGTGGCTTTGAATTCATTTACTTCCATAAATACTGATTAGTGATCACGATAGAAAATTAAAAATATCAATTTACCATGACTTTTGACTCCCGCCACGGGTGGTATATCAACACATGTCTTGAGTTGGATGTAATCATAAGTTTACGAGGCGTAGTAACAAGTGAGAAAATATGTGCATCTATTTACGGAATAGATGAGGGGACTCTAAAATTTCTTAGACACGCGGATCGATTTATTCACAAATATGTTGCGTAATGACACCTGCTTTATCATAATGAATTAAGACAAATAATTTTCTTCAGTTTTTTCTTTTTTCTTTGAGTTCCAATCAAATTTTCAGTCGTGTATAAGTACATCAAGTTTACATTAAAAGGGTGTTCCCCACCGGTATTAGTCTTACCTCATACTCGTACGTATGATAACTGAGAGTCTCGAGGATTTCAAAATTAGTACAGAGTACACTCTGGTCCATTATGTTTCAAAGAGACTCGTATCAGTGTTAAAAAAAAACTAGGAGGACAAGGTAAAAAGTGCACAAGTTTACCCCCAACTTTATGACTGAACCGAACTTTTTAAAAGTAAAATCTAATAAAAAATGTTTTCGCCGCGTAAAATTTTTTTCGAGAGCCAACTATGAACCTTCCTTTCATTGGGCACTTGTATTTAAGTTAAGAGAACATGAAAAGAACCTGCAATTCTCTCTCTCTCTTTTTATGGAGCGTCATTTAATTACCTACTTGTGGATAAGTTTTAGAGATACAAAAGGTACAAAGTGCTTTGAAATTGAAATGATTCGTAAAAAAACATAATTTCTGGTTTTCAGTTCGGCACTGAATTTTTGCGTATCTATCTGAGCGTAGAAAAGACATGTATTCTCTCCAACTTCACGGCGTTGATTCCATCGCAGCGACTCAACAATATTTAAAGCCAATTGCTTTAAGTATGGGTAGCGAAAACATTTCAGTCGTACGCATTTACACATTTGCGCATGAAAAAGGTTATGTAACAGACGCGACGGAACACTTCTACGTCAAAAGAGCACGTTGCAAACATGAATGTATGCGATTTTGCCAACAACATTGTTGAGTGCAGAAATGAAACTATCAAGTAAATACCTATATTCGACCTCATATAAATTCTTTTTTTCAAAAACCACAAAAATATGATTTGCCAGTAAGGAAAATTTGTCTTGAACTTTAAAGAATTTTGTAACAAAATATATGGCCAGAGCCGAAATAAAATTCGAGAGGAGATTAGGCTCCATTTGATGTAGTTGAGTTGATTTGAGTTGATGCCATCAAAATAATCGTCCGACTCGGAAACTAAAAATCTTTTTAGTATCTTTGTGAAAAAAAGTGGGTCTATTTCAACATTTTAAAATTGCAGAATATCGTTTTTTTTTTCGCACAGGTAGATAACTGACCTAATCTCATGGAAGTGTTTTCCTTACAACTATTCAAATTTGGTGCCATCTATAGAAAAGTTTTCTGAGCAGTGCATCAGAACGAAACTGAACGATCCCTGACAATTTTGAGACGTTCCAAATGGTCTTATAAGATTTTTTTTTTTTTTTTTTTTTTTTTTTAAAAAATCAATTTCATTTTTCTCAAACTGTACTGTAAACTGCAATGTGGTTATTGTACCGTATTGTGTAAAACCGTTTTGAATCACGATTCAATTTTTTTTCCTCAAAATTTTGGCGAGAGGATATATTTGACCTTCACCACTTTACATGCCATAGACTAATTTTCGTATTTATTTTATTCTCTCAAAGTGAAGGTTAATCCTTTCTCAATATTACTTCGGTCCGAATGAAGTCTTCATAATGATCAGTAACTTCGAAATGCATGCTTACAGCTCTTTCCTAACGCACTGACTCACAGCTTTTCAAGGTCCGAATCTACGGCAGTTACTGTCAATCTCGTCCTTCACTTTCCTAAAAATTTCAATCAAATACCGTTTAACTCGAAAAAGTTCAATCGTAAAAAGACGGCCGATAACTTTAGCGGGAATGATTTGCATTTTTGACCCGAGCAGATGTTAAAAGTCGCCTCAACTTCAGCTGCAAGGGCGAACCACGAGCCTCTGTGAATTATTATTATAACGCACTTTTTCTTGACTATCTCGCTGCACATGCAATCATCCTCTCCTGCAGTCCTAACTCATTTCGATAAACCTCCAATTCTAAAAGAGTCGGGTTTGAAGGTAATTACAGGCTTCATATTTCACTAGAAAATATTAGTGTCAAGTTGACTTGAAGTGCAAAAATTCAAGGAATGATCCTTGAATTTGAATTTTTAAATAATTGAAATTTACCAAGTGGAGTATATTGTAGTGAACCTTTCTTATCCGTAGTATGCCTTCCAAATCATTTTAACAGCTTAATGAAACTGATTTATGCATTAACAGGTCTAGTATGAATGTATTGGGTTATACAATGTTACACTCAAAATCAACAATTCAGGTAACTGCATGCCCGACTTTGACTTTTCACCTCGACGCGACAATGGACCTCTAGATAAGGTTCGGATTTCAGCATTCTGATACATGTTTCTTAATCAAAATTTTATTTAAAACACGATGCACACAACGAAAATTACCAAAATTAACTCCTTACGAAGATATTTAATGATTCTTGATGCGTGAATTCAAACCACCCGCTCATGAAAACTCAATGCTCTACGTGATTCACATCGCGCGCTAAACGTTATCATGACAGTCTCTGCGATATAAAAATATTGCAACCTCAATCTTGACGCTTTGGCTCAGCTGTAGCAAATTACTTAAAGTTTGAAGAAAACATCGTGGGAAATGAACATTGCTCGGTTGAGAAGTTTGCTGAAACCGTTGTAGTGCGCGATTTGACTCACGTGGGGCTTTGAGTTTCTTGGGGGCGGGCAGTTCAAATTCCTCGTAACCAATGTGGAATAAAAACGTTAATATCCTCATCAGGAATTGATTTCAGTAATTTTCGTGGCGTGAATCGTGTTCTACGTGAAATTCTGGTCAAGAAACATGTATCAGATCGCTTAAATTCGTACCTTGTCTAGTTGTCCATTCAAATATAATTATTCTGCAATTACTATTATTAGGGGAGGTTGACAAGATATACAGGGTGATCCAGGGTTAAAC